TAAAGAAAAAAGAAAAGTGCAAGAAAATAGTAGCAAAAAAAAAAATTCTTCTGCAGTTTTAGGAATAACATCCTTGAGGGGGCGGGGCTTCAGTCCCAGGATAGAAATTATGTCAGCATTTTGCTTACATTGTCATATTGACTCCAAACTCTATCACTTCCTCCTCCTCCGCCTCTTCTTCCTCCTCCCCCTGCAGCTGCTCCTTTACAGCCCCCCTCCCCCCTCCTCCTAAAACTTCCCCCACAACCCTCCCCTCCCCGTCACTCATTACTTCATCCCTTCTTTCCTCCACCTCCACCTCGTCTATCTCCCTCCTTCTTCTTCTTCTTCCCTTCCTCAACCCATGCTTGTTTCATTTCTCCATCTCTTCCTCCATTTCCTACACCTTCTCCACCTCCTCTTCCTCCTCCTCCTGCTGCCCCCCCCCTCCTCCTCCTCTGCACACCTCTTCTTTTCTCCCCTCTCCTCTGGTGTGACCCAGCCTCATCTTAAATCCGCTTCCATCCGCATGAAAGCCAAAAGTTTACAGAAGCAACAGACAGACAGACAGTCGGTCGGACGGACGGACCGACAGACAGGTCGTCCCTCAGTCAGCAGACCCCCTGCCTGTCCTACTGACAGCTGATCAAAAGGAGAAAATGGGTCAGGCTTCTGTTCTTCTGTCCTTAATTACACAACAGTCTTTAAACAAAGCAACATCTGCCCAACTACCCATCCTGCTCCTCCTCCTCTTTCTGTCCCATCTCCTCTACCTTTTCTCCCCTTTACAGCCCCTCCATCCCCATCCTCATCACCCAAACTCAATACAATTGGAAGATCCTTGAAAGAGGTATTGGTTAGGGTAAATATAGCCTTTGTGCAATGGTTTACTTCCAAGGACTCGGTTCTACATGTGACGCAGAGAGATCGCCAAGCAGGTCAGCTGAAAATGCAAAATATGATTTTGTGAAATGGCAAAATCAGAGTTCAATAATATGAGGTAAATATTGATGCCAATGAAGGGAAGAAGACCTCTGATATTAAGGCAACAGATATTTCCTGAAAATAAATCAATTCTGCATGTCTTTCCCCACTCGCTCTCCCCGATATCCTACTTTATCCACCGTCCTATTAAATAAAGGAAAACAGACACAAAATACAATTCTGAAATTCTTTGCAAAGGGAAGTTTTTCCAAATCAGAGAACTTATATCTTCTACTCATTAAATCTTCAGTAATTCCAATATATCTGGTGTTGTGTTTTTTCTTTCTTTTGTTTTACTTAGTTGGAGAACCATTTGGCCAATCAGAGCTTTGTAAGCGATACTATGAATTGGGACATCACTTGCCAAAAAACGTCCACACATGTTGAGGGTTTGATCAACATCTGAGGTGCTGCTTGTCAACAGTCAAGGCAGGCAACTGATTGGGGCCCGAGGCCCGATAGAGGACCCTGAGGGGCCATAACAGTGACTTAAAATGTGCAAGGTTTGCAATGACAGCAGGAAACCTCTAGACCACTAGAGTTCTTCAAATATTTCTGCATAAATATATATTAGGTTAGAGCTGAAGAGCAGCTACTACATCTACTTCTACTGTTGTATGCAAACTGAAGTGGGTCTTCACTTTAACCCGAGGCTATGCTGTGAGCATTTGTTACACAATTAACAATGAAAGAGGTGACAGATATGTCCAGTAACTAATTTACTAAAAGAGAGCGTGGTTGTTTTCTCTGATGTCTTAACTGTTGTTATTTTATGATGATGGATCAGAAGCAGAGAGAGAGAGGGGGAGAGGGAGAGGGAGAGAGAGAGAGGGAGAGAGAGAGTTATTTAGCAGTCGTTTGTCCTTGGAAGTGTAATGAATTGTAAAGTGAACAGGCTACAGGCCATAATGCTTTTTCAGTGCAGCTCCCACGCTCATCACTCCGCCCAGAGACTGTCGATAACGTCCCAACGCACACACCGACACACACACACACCGACACACACACACGCACACACATGCACACACACACATACAACAAACACGAACACACCAACACTTTATTTTCACAGTAGCAGTCTGCACTCAACACTGAGCTACACAGCTACAAGCATCAGCCCAACAAAGACTGAAATGTATTCACTTTACCTATCTCACATTTTTTTAACCAACAGCAGGAGGAGACTTCACTGATTTCAAAAAGAATTCAAATAGTTTGAAGTCTATGAGAAATGAGCCTTTTTCTCAGATGATTGTAAGCCTCAGTGAACATTTTCGTAATGACTTTATAGTCTCAAGCAAGTCTTCTTCAATACAGCATGATGTTCATTTTGTAAACTAGAGTGAATTGGCCATGCTACCTTGGGATTTAAAGTCACTGCCAAGGCAAAGTGAAAAATGAGCTATTCAGCAGTTGATTGTCTTAAACAACACTTAAGAATCTACATGCTGGTACAAATAAAGAAATCTGAACTCCGCTGTTTATTTCATCAGGTGAAACATTTTTAAAGGTCATCATTTTGCAAGCAAAGAAACTGGGGTAGACCCAGAACGTGCTGATTGGAATATGTATCTCTTCTGGCCTTGGTACTCCTAGGAGAAGTTGCTAATGTTGCTGGGGAGAGGGACATATGGGTCAGCTTACTTTGCCTGCTGCCACTGAGACCCAGCCCTGGATAAGCAGAAGAAAATGGATGGATGGATAAATGGGTGGATAGGTGGATGGATGGATGGATGGATGGGTGGATGGGTGGATGGTGGATGGATGGATGGATGGATGAATGGATGAATGGGTGGATGGATGAATGGATGGATGGATGAATGGGTGGATGATGAATGGATGGATGGATGAATGGATGGATGGATGGGTAGATGGATGGGTGGATGGATGAATGGGTGAATGGGTGGATGGATGGATGGATGGATGAGTGGATGGATGGATGAGTAGATGGATGAATGGATGGATGGATGGATGGATGAGTGGATGGATGGATGGGTAGATGGATGAATGGATGGATGGATGGATGGATGGATGAATGGATGGATGGATGAGTAGATGGATGAATGGTAGGATGAATGGTAGGATGGATGGATGATGATGGATGGATGGATAACTGAGTGTGCTAACTCAAGACTGAAAAATGTCTTTTCTGGGGATTAGTTTTACTTAAAAACACTCAGAGCTGTTGTCTTAACTCTTTTTGATAAGCTTGATTTTGGAGGGTAAAATGAGCATTGCAATTGGTCAAACATCATCACTGTTATGGAACCAGTTTGTCCACACATCTAGCAATAGTGTTGACTGAAAACTGAACTCCATACACAAAATAATACAATGAAAAGATGACGGCAGCAAGTAAAACCTTTGTTGAAACCAAAGTGTCTCAAGAGAAAGTGCTGGTTTAATCATGTGTTTATCATGTGTCATTTCTCTCACCTTTCTTTATCTGAACGATCAGAGGCAGCAGGTGATGAGATGAGATCAAATTTTAATGATCCCTGTGGGTAAAATGTGTCTCTGTAGCAGCAGTATAGACCAACCAGCATCCTCAGATTGAAACCTATGATTTAATCACATTTGTTAGCTGCACACTGAATGGGAATATCTGCAGGTAGAAAACAATATTGACTCACTATACAGGCACTGTTGGATGCTTTTACCACCCAACCTTTCTGCATGAATACTGAATTTATTTTCTCATTTATTTATCAATTTTGCATCAAGCTTTTTGTGCTCAGCCTGACTGTAGCTCAGCAACAATGATCAGAAAACTATTCAATATAATTGTGAATTCCCGGGCAAACTTTCCATAACCTTTTATTTTCCCCTTTTCTTTCAATTTATTTTTTTCTCATTATTTTTAATATGTATAAAAATCAATCAATCTTTATTTCTGTAGAGCCATCTCATACATTTTTTTTTCTAAAGACACTACAAAAAGACCAATGGTTCCCAACTGGTCTAGCCTCAGTCAGGACTAAACTCCTACATGAAAAATTGTGATGAAAATTCTGGTAATTTATTTAATAAAAAAATGCACAATTTGGACCTCAACAGCAGTAAACATGTGACATAACAAAGAAACCAAACAAAACAAACTTGTTTAAAAAGCGCTTCATAGATTTTTATTGACACAATTTGTTTCCAGGTACACATTTGCAACCCCTCTGTGAAAACGGGTCCCACCCAATGGGTTCAACCCACCAGTTGAGGACCACTGGTCTAGACTGTACTTTTGTTTTTATTATCTACAAACACCCAACATGAATCCATCAAGAGCACAGCACTAAGCAACATTTAGCAAAGTTACAGTGGCAAGGAAACAATGCCTTCAAACGGGCAGAAACCTCGAGCAGAACCAAACTTATGTTGAACTGCCATCTGCTGAAACTGTAAAAAAATAGTATTTTGTATTTATATTATAATAAAAGATGAAGATCAAAGTTAAAAATGATAAATGTGATATTTTGAGGACTGCTTAAACTTGTATTTATAACGCATTTCATGAGCTTCTGGTTCAAATTGCTTATTAACTGTTGAGTCAAAAGACTATAGGTTAATTATTATAGAAATATATATACGCCTCTGAGCAGCCAATAAACAGGAAGCTTTTTACAAGGCAAGGTTAATACAACACAATGAAGAAGATGTTTATAGTAGGCCCTAACAAGTCTTAGAAATAAATCTGTAGGCCTAATGGACCTAAATGGACCTGATTTTTTATATTTTAACAGGAAGTGACCATCAAATCCTACAGAGAAGTCACAACAGCACAACACACTGGCATCATTTTATAGCAATACTACACAGTAATGATTTTTCGTTGTGTTCCCACCCACAGCAGATTGTCACACACCGCTGTATTCCTCTAATACACTGGTTGGCCATTTTCCTCGTTTGCCACACCCTCCAGATCCCATCCCTTTCTCTGATTGGCTGATTGTGCCGTCACTCAAGCAGAGGACGCCCCTTCAGCCCAGTCCGCTTGTCTCCCACCCCCCACCCCCCCTCCCCCCCTCCTCTCGCAGCAGGTTGGGTTGAGCGGTCTGCTAGGGGACCGTGGACAGCTCCCGTCTGAAGAGCAGAGTAACGCAGGAGGAGGAGAGGGCTGGATATGGGGGAGTCACCGCACAGGCCCGTACGATCGAGATAAAAAAAAAAAAGACAAAAAAAAAAAAAAAAAAGACAAAACACTTTTATGTGTTCACACCGGGGAAAAGACACAAAGAGCAGGAGCTGGAGAGGCCCCAGGAGGACGGGGAAACAACCGAGGAAGTGAAGGAAAAGCGGGGATACGGATACTGACCCATCCCGGAGCATCAGGGGAGAAGCAGCGAGAGAAAGGAGGAGAAGGAGGACAGAAGGAGAGATAATTCCGCTCGACCTGATGGACTGAGAGGACAGATGAATGAAGACTGCCTACACTAACGCCTATCGATGCCTGGCCAAGGACCTGGACGCTTACGCCATGAACACGGACATGACAATGGACGGCATTGGCAGCCTGCATGGCGGGGTGGCGGTGAGCTCCATGGCCCCTGACTTGGAGCTCATGAGCGGCCACAGCCCGCACCACGGCCGTGGGGGCTCCTCGGGGGGACACGGGGCGGCGGCGGCAGCGGCGGCGGCGGCTGCGTCCACCCTGCGGATACATCAGGACCTGGCCGCCGCCGCCGCATCCTCCCGCTCGGCCATGGTGACCGGCATGGCCACGATACTGGACGGTAGCGGGGAGTACCGTCCAGAGCTGTCCCTGCCGCTGCACCACGCCATGAGCGTCCCCTGCGACACGTCCTCTCCTGGGATGGGGATGAGCGGCACATACACCACCTTAACGCCGCTGCAGCCGCTACCCCCCATCTCCACCGTGTCCGACAAGTTTCACCACCATCACCATCACCACCACCAGCGGCTCTCCGGTAACGTGAGCGGGAGCTTCACCCTGATGCGGGACGATCGGGGGCTGCCAGGAATGAACAACCTGTACAGCCCCTACCACAAGGACCACATGTCCGGGATGGGTCAGAGTCTTTCCCCGGTGCTGGGGAACGGTCTGGGTTCCATACACAACACCCAGCAGGGTCTCCACAACTATGGCACCACGACGCATGGAGGCCACGACAAGATGCTGAACTTCGACGCGCACCACACAGCCTCCATGCTGGCCAGAGGGGACCACCACCAGCACCGAGGCCTCGCTGGCCCCACGGCCGGGATGATGCCGCACCTGAACGGGATGCACCACCCCGGGCACCCGGCGGTATCCTCGGCGGGCCATCACCCCCACTCCCACCACCACCTCCAGTCTCCGTCCCACGGGCCCGTGTTGGCTTCCAGCCGGGAAAGACCGCCCTCCTCCTCCGGGACGCAGGGGGTGAACAGCTCGGGGCAGCTGGAGGAAATCAACACCAAGGAGGTAGCGCAGAGGATCACGGCGGAGCTGAAGAGGTACAGCATCCCCCAGGCCATCTTCGCTCAGAGGGTGCTGTGCCGCTCCCAGGGAACCCTGTCGGACCTCCTGAGGAACCCCAAACCCTGGAGTAAACTAAAGTCAGGCCGGGAGACCTTCAGGAGGATGTGGAAGTGGCTGCAGGAGCCTGAGTTTCAGAGGATGTCGGCCCTCAGACTGGCAGGTAAGAGCGGACAAAACAAACCGACGTGCTGTTTGGTTTTTCTTTGAGCGCTGGAATAACAAAAAAAAAAAAAAAAGAATTTAAATCTCACTCCAAAATGATCTTTCTGTATGAAATCCTCTGCTGGCTCTGTTTTGGTGTTTCCCCGTGACTACATGCATTCCGGTGTAGAGGAACGAAATTTATTTAGCATCACTGGTGTTATGATTACCATTATTGATCAATAACAAACAGGGATCGATACAAAATGACAAGGTCACGGGATTTCCCTCCAACAAACAGTCCCCTCTCTCTGTGTCTGCACCGTGCTGTAACCCAAATTTACTTTAATCAAGAAGAGGGAAACACTGCATTTGAATAGAATTAAAGTGAATTACTTGCTCTTAGTATGTTTAGTAATACAACAGTATATTAAAAAAAATATTTCTGTATTACACTTTGAAATTATGTTTCAAATTGGCACACTCAGCACAAAATTTTAGGAAATGATCTGACCATTTCAAATAATTCAGTTTGCCTGTTTTTAGTTGAAGTCAGTTTAGTGTGCAATGTTGATTCAGGTGTATCATGGTTTCACGCTGCAGACTTTACCCTCTGCTGGTGTTTTCTGTTAAATACTTGTAGTCTTCAGAGAGGTGTGTTTAAACAGACAGAGAGGTTTCCGAGGAGGATTTGTGTTTGAGGGCGAGCACCCCGAGGTGATCACACAGACTGTGACACAAACATGAAGGTTTTGCAGCAGCATCAGTGGGTCTGGTGCCCCCTCTAGTGAGGAGCTGGGTCTCTGTCCCCACAGCAAGAAGCCTCTTTTGTCTGCAGGGGGGGACGGTCAGGTGGATTTTGAAGGCTCAGGTTCATTGTGCATTATCAGATTAGTGAGTGTTGCTTTAGTGCCTTAGTTTGTCTGTGGAAAGTTTCTGTTAAGATCTGATCTAAGATCTATTTGTCAGAGTGGACTGAGGGGCTTTCATGGTCGTTTGGAATTCAGTGTTTGAATTTCATTTCCTGCAAAAGTGAAAACTGCAGACGTCTGAATTATCATAGGAGATAGGCTGCTCAGAGTGGGACTCAATGCTCTCTTAATTATGATTATTATCAAGAATTAAATACAAAATGTTTTAAAGGGATTAATACAATATTTGATATCTGCCAAATAAATAGCTGCATGCTTTAATTTGCTCAGTGTAAGACAGGATGCATCAAACAATCAGAAGGAAAACATCATCAACTTTAGAAAATCTAAATGTTAGACAGGAAGTGCCTTTATACAAAATAAGTCTCTAAATCTTTAAGAGGAGTTTATGTTCTTAAAGCAGCGTTTTGTCAGCCTGCATCATTTCACAGATAACAAAAATTAAGTTGCCTGTATGATTTATATCATTTAGTTGTCTTATTGGATTTAAAGCTGCCTGCCTCTAATTTGTTTTATTAACATGCAAAGTATTCAAAGAAGTCAAATATGAAGGCCCAACTCTTTTATAAAAAGAGGTAGCATGCATACACAATAGAAAAAGACATATTTTGTTTGCTTATTTAGTTTAAAATGACAGATGAAGCTTCATGACTGAGGATGTTCGTCAAAATGAAAATGTTGCATGCTCAGAACTTTTCCTCAGTTTATTTTGTGGGAGATGTTTCTCTAAACACATAAAGCAAGGCTCAACAATCAAAATAAACAGATTCACAGGTTCAACTGGACAGCGTTGAATGTTTGCAGCTCACAAAAAATCCAAAAACGTGCAAAGTTCACAGCACCAAAATAAAAGACCCTAAAAGCTGGTGAATGGTAGAGTTTATAATGATTACATTGAAGACAGCTAACGAGTCATATTTAGATATTTACTGGTCTTAAATGATTTATTTTTCAAGTTTTAACCTGTTTATCTTACTTAATTATCAGTGCTTTTACTTAAATTAAATATATTTACTCGTTAAAGAAATAAAGGCTCATTTTAATAATTTGCATTTTGTCTTTAAACTGAACGTTCACTGAGCAAAACCGGATATTTATATAAAACTGCATCAACATAATTTATGAAGGTATCAGATGTTGTTTATGTGTTATTAGAATCAAATGTATTTGACCTAAATTAGAGCTAAAGAAGGGTATAGAACATGTACACACAGCAGGTTTTTAAAATAGATTTATATCTGAAATAAATGATTCAGATAAAATCTCTCAGCAGACTGTGGTGATTATTTCTGAAGCTGTGAGAAGCAGTAAGATGTTAGCAGACTGAAATGTTTCTTTTGGAGCTCCTTTCCTTTCATTCATAAATACATGTAACCCAATGTGTTTCACAAAAGAACAGACAAAGAAGAACAGAAATGGAAAGAAAGAGATGAACGCAATAAGGGACAGTAAATAAATTATTAATTGAAAGATATAAATGAAATAAGGTAATAAATAAAATCTATAAAACAGAGTAAAAATATCAGTAAATGAATTACACGTGGTGAAAAGTAGACGAAGAGGAAATGAAAACAAGACATAGAAGAAATGTAAAAACAATCATAAAGACAAAATTAAAATGACTCCTAATTAAAAGCCAGATTTTCAGTCTATCTGTTAAAAACTCTGAGAGCTCGCTGCTCTGACGTCCGGGGGCGTTGAGTAACAGCATGGCTTTAACAGGAACTCTGTCATACAGTTAATCTAATGAAGTGTGCAGTGATTTATTCATTTAAAAAATATTTTTAATGACAAAGATACAGAAATCTTTTTGACAGAAATCTGCTCTCTGAAGAAAACCAACAACTCTCCAAACGTAATGATTTTTATTTTTGACCTTTCTGAAGGGTTTCATGTTCATTCATGTTGCAACAAATGTTTATTTTTCTTTGGTTAGAATTTTTTTTTGTACAGAAATTTATTAAAATCAAATTATTTATCACCTTTAAAACTACTCAGGTTAAACCAGGCCAATTAAAAAAGGTGACATGTTTTCATTACACTTTTAGTAATATCTCTCGAAACAAAGACGAGACGTGTGTGCTCCATTTTTACATTTTAAACAAATATAAGGTACGCAATCTATTTTAACAAAGAAATTAAAGAAAATTTAGAAGCTACAAATACAACAAACCTTTCCTTTCCCTGTGTTAGCTTTTATTTATATTTTATTTTAGGGACAGATACAATAAAGACAAACTGAAAACAAGCAATCCAATACTAATAGTGTTTGCTAATCTGCAGCATGTGTCCCCTTGGTTCTTTTTAATTCGTCAAACACTTGTGGCAAGTTAAATATAATCATTGAAAAAGCATTAGGATGCAAAATAAATTGAAGCCCTAAGAACATAAAGGTGAAGATGTAATGTCAGTCATCGTGTTTCAGTCGAGGTAAAGCATCTTATGAACGCTCCCTTTAATCCATCTGAACACTCTGAGTCCTCACCTTTACGTTGTAGACTTCTTCTTCTCTGGAGAAAAAAAAAGACGACTCTAAGAACCAAACACAGGATGTGATGTTTGAGTCTCTTGAGCCTATCACATCTGTTTCTTCTTCAGACACGCCACCACACGCCTCTTTCAAAACCACTGTAAGAATCTTAATGTTAGAAATAATCTGATTAAGAGACTAAAAACTGGAACATTTAGCACGAACCAGAAACAGACTGGAGATCAGGAACAATAAAGGGGACAAAGAGGAAAAACAAATTAAAGGTAGAGCAGATACAGAGTTAGATCATTTATATACAAAATATATGAAGGAGTCAAAGCATTAGTTAGTATTTAAATGTTTGAGGAACATTTCAGATAACAGCTCACTTCTGAATAAAAACAAATATTACACATTAATGATCTCATGACGTCTTTGTTTGTATAAAGAATAACCTTTAAATTCACATCACACCTGTTATGTGCAGTTTATTCAGACTTCAGTGAATGTTAATGAATGTAACATCAGTTTTCTATTTTTTTTTCAAGAACAGTTTTGTCAAATAAGAAAACATTCTCAGACTATTCATCTCACTTCAGCCTTTTATTTCTACTCAATGTGAGTCAAGCCCACAGCCTGACGACAATGTGATTAAAGATAAACCCATTAAAAGGCTGCATGCACCTCACAATCTGAACTGTTTTCAGTCTCATCAAACTTAAAAACATGTACGGACGACGGTACAACTTCAGTAATTTGTAATCAACATGAATTGTGCCGTCAAAAACATAGCGATACTATGCTGAATCGATTTTTCCCCCCACCTCTATTTTCTGTAGTTTAAAACATTCTGTCATCCCCTCCCCCCTCCAAAAACATACAAAAAATAGATAAAACTTCCACCTCACAAGATGATCATTAATTTAATCTGTTTGATATCCAATGATTTGAGCCCTTCTTACTTTAATGATCTTAATGAGTTTTTAATAGTGGGTTTATAGAGATGACATCATATTTCATGGTCAGGCTTTCTTCTGACTCATCCTGGTGTGTTTTCTCATATTTAGTGGCTGCTTCACCTTACAATGTTTGGATCATGATAGCTCAGCAGCCTTTAAATGTATGTTCTTAGGCGTGTTGTGGTTGAAACGAGGCAGAAGATTTATGGGAGAAATGTGTTACAGATTCAAGTGGATGAACTGCTTTAAATGGATCGTTAAACAAAAACAAGGAAAATCCCAGCATGGACGACTGTTTCTCCCAAATAATTGATTCTTAATTAATTAGCATTTAATCATCCTAGACTCAGTCATTTAGTACAGCGTGCATTCTAACCTGCAGTACTAGTATCTCTGCAGGATTTTACTGCTATCTCATCAGGGATTCTTTGATTTTCAGGGCTGGTGTTTGCAGGACATGATATAATAGTGGAGCTCGAGGACAATGAAGGAGCATTTCAGTGCTTCTCTGTTGAAACATTTCATCATGTTAGGACACTGATCAGCCTCAGACTGCTGTCGAATAGAGCTGCACTTGTCTGCTTCATGCAAACGCTTTACTTGCTGATGAATATCAGATTTAATTCTGTTATTTAAATGTCCAAAATTCACAAATCAA